GCACCATCATACAAATACTAAACCTTAGCCTTCTGTTTAGAAGTGTTGTGTTTGGTTACTCTGCATAACTATAAAGGCAAGTGCTCAGTGTATAATAAATATATATATATTTATATATATTTAATATACTCAGTGTATAAGTAAATATAGCTTAGCAGGTTGAAATACAGGTTAGATTTCTCTACCATCTTTAACTCACCTGTTAATGTGTGTAAAGACTACAGACTGCCCAGTCTTCCTTAGGATTCTGCTTCAGAATAGGAACATTTCCCAAAGAACTCATGTCTGTCCCAAATGCTCAAGTTTTCAATCAATTTTCTGATCCTTCCATAGTTCTTGTTGTTCTAATATGTATTAACATATTTGTTGTAAATTACTGTTTCTAAGTTACTGGTTTTCATGTGGGTGGATACCCTTCAGCGCTTCATAAAAAGAAAATTACATTGCTTTGTACAAATGCTTCATATCCAAATGAAAACCCTGCTGCTAGGATGAAGCACAGTTTGTCAATTACAAGAACAACTTATCAATTTTCCCTGGAAAGTTAGAAACAATGTTGAATTTACAGACTTTCACTTGCATAATTCTTTCCATTAAAATGCTAATTCCAAAGTACATGTTAATTAATGCGCCTTCCTCTCAGACAAGACAATTTCATAGCAACGCTATTAACTTCAAACACTATTAACTTCAAACCCTTTGAAATAATGAAATAATAATAAGTGCTTTATTGATTGTTACTGAAGGGTAATGTGAAAGGAATAAAAGTGAGATGTTTATCCCAGTGGATGAGAATCACTTAAGAAAGAAAATATAATTTCAAGACATTTAAGGTTCATGAACATCATTTTGGAAAAGCTAGAACAACTGTAATTCTAAAGGATGATTCTTAGCACCTGTCTGATATTTGGTATCTTCCAATTCTCAGATGATCGCATGACTGATTTTCTCACCATGTCAGCACCTGAACTTCATTTCCAAAGGCACACCCTCCAGAACTAAAGTATTTGCCTCATTTTAGGAAAAAAAGATAATCAGCACTTTTCTACAAAGGCCAGATTTAGTTAATACATTTCAAACCTGAAAATGGTTCTCTGGCTGCTCCCAATCCAGAGATACCACCATGGTGGCAGGTACCATCGCTTCCTGCCAGAAAAGCACTGCATCAGTTTCTTAGAGAAAACCACCGGGAAATAAATGCCATCTTAGGTTTATTTAATTTTCCACCTGGCTTTTACTTTCTGAAGCATGGTAATATTGTTAAAAAGACCAGAAACATCAGAAAAGTGGGGCTGAGGGAGGAGCCTTGCTGAATCAGCAGGAGCCAGAGCAAGAGATAGGACCTTGACAGTCACTGCTGCTGAGGGGCTCTCAGCTGCTGGAGCGTCAGGATGTGGTGACAATAAGTATTTTTTGCTTGGATTCTTCCCAATTTTTCATGCCACTGAGCTGAAACTACAAGTCTCAATTCATACTCCACATATATGCCATGAAACTCTGCTGCTTTGTTTCATTCTGGTTTTAATTTGTAACATTGCCCAGTGCCCCAGATGTATTTTATTTCCCCCCTCTTCATTGTCATGAGGACAATGTCCTCCCCTCCATGTGGTCCCTCACAGAGAAGGTGTAGGAATTCAGGGCAAATGCAAAGGATGCTCATGAAACACATGATACAAAGGGAGACCTGGAAACCAAGTCCTTCCGGAGCTGCTCCCAGAGCTCATGAGGACTCCCTCATGTGATGTGGGCAAATCATACATGCAAAAATTTTCAAACTCAGATACCACCTGAGGGTACCCCTATAGCCAGACTCTGCGGACCTTGTTTCATCTGCTTCACACCAACGAGCCAAAGTGACTCTGTCAACACTTGTCAGAGCTTCTCTGCAGTCCCTCCACCTATTTCCGTGCTTTGCATAAAGAACTCTAAAAAGATTTCACTACCGCCATCTTATAGTCAAAATATAATAGAAAGGAAATCCCTCTGTGCATCAGAAAGAAGTGAAAATATTCAGCAGCTATCGGTCTACCGGCCAGTTTAATTCCCTGGTTTGTTTCACAGTACATGGTATTTGGCAGGACAAAAATCCTGCAGTCCTAACGATGAAATACCAGCTGATCTCTAGCTTTTTTACATTCTGACAAGCTCTGTGAAATGTTTGTTTGAGACTGAGCTTTCTTCCTTCCTTTTGGAAGCTGGCTCTTGGAAACACAGTTGTGAATAAGGATGGAAAAACAAGTGAATTCTGCCCAACTGTCCATCTCCCAAGGGAGGATCAGAATAGTCAACAAATATGTGGTTTCTCAGCCATATAAACATAGAAAATGCATTTAAAAGATAGGACTGAAAGCTCATCTCAGAAAAATATATTTTAAATCAATATCATATGTAACCAGCACCTACATATACTGTATACACACCATGTTCTATAAAACAAACCTCTTTACTATATTTATACAAAATTAATTTTTATTTAATGAGGAAAGCATACAAAAAGCTAGGAGAATCATATTATGTTTGCAACTAGTGATGTAAATGTATGTTTAATTCTGCATTTAATATTGCAAATAATTAGTCTACTATAGACAACCTTTGCTTTTGATGTTAAGATGTATGTGCCATGGGGGTATATTTTTTAAAGAGAAGATGCTATGTAGGGTATAATAGTTGGTTCTCTAAAAGATTGTTTAGCAAAGGATTAGCCACTAATATTCAGTATTCAAAGCTCTGGAATATACAAACAGGGGTTTTAACTAGCCTTCCTTCATTATGTGCATTATAACCTCTCTGAATAAGCAGCTTGACACAGAGTAATTCCAAGGGACTGCGTACCAGATGTATTTGTACATGCTATATTTCAGGTCCCATGAAGCACTGGTTGGCAATTGGATTTTTTTCCACAGAAGAACTTGCCAAAATAATAATAATAAAAAGTTTTGAGCAGAATACAGCTAAAAACTGTAAGCTGTAACAAAAGTAACAAAATCTTTCAGCTGAAAATGAAAACATTTTGACATGGAATTACTGTCTTCATATGCCATGAAAGATGTAGTTTTGGTGTCCCACATCTCAGTTTTCCTCTAGATGTTGGCATACAATGATGAACAGGATCCCCCGGTTACCCTTAGCCTTCCACCTTGCTAGGACCCTGATGGGCACCCTGAGAGTTCCATGCCATGGGGAACAGCAGGGAATTTATCTGTTTGTTGGAGGAGAGGTGTTTTCCTTTGGAAAATATCTGTGGAAGGCATTTTTGATTTTTTAAAGAATTTACTCAATATTAATGAAATATTTTATGAATATAAATAAAATATTTTATTTCCTACACAAACCAGTATCAACTGTTTTTTATTTTTTTAATCAGATATTTTGGGCTAGACCTGCTATTTCTATTTAGCTGCTACTCAGTCTAATTAAGCCCATGCAATCACTGAGAAATTATCTGAGTTTGGAACAATAAAACGCTAAACCAGGGCCTGAAGAAAGGATCTGAGGGAGTTCTCATTTTAATTCCTCGCGAACCACCATCAAAACATCCACAGAAGACCCACCACAACTGACAAGCTTTTAAAGAAACATTAATATCAAGCATTCCCTACGCATTTTGTAATCCCAGGAAGTGAAGGCTGGAGCCAGCCTTCCCAAGTAGTCTTGGCTGTTCTCCTTTCTAACCCCACCAGTCAAACTCTTGTAAGCTGTGGCTGAGGCACACCCCCAGAGCTGCCAGGAAATATTTGCACCAGTTCTGCCTGGGCTATTGTTGTTTAGTGCCAAATCAAAATACAAATGTCAGAAATTGATCAAAAGCCTGAAGTAAAATGCCATGTGGATGTTCTATGTAGAGTTATATATGCATACGTGCACACACTCACACATTACATATGCAAGTGCATTTGTTATTTTATATATAATATGAACATTTATATCACTTCAGTTACCCATCTCTCCACCAGCAGAGACCAATGCACAATCTTGGTTCCATCATGTTGCACCATCTACCTTTCAGTTCTGCATTACTGGAAGCAATTTGTCTGTAATGTTAATTACTGCATTCACCTCACAGTCATTCCCTCTGAGAGGTGTCAGTATGATAGCTTATGTTTACATTTACAGAAAATTAGTACCTCTGTTCTGTCTCAGATTTCTGATGATCTTGAATTAATAGACTGGGCTGTAATGCTAAGGTATCAGCTTTGTTGCAGGTATCGTATTGATTGCGTGACGTATAAAATTACAAACTCTCAATGTCCTGTCCCAGCGCGCACATGTATTTGCACCAAACTTGCCCTGAACTAGTGGGAACAATCTCTATTTTGGTTGTTTCAAAGGCCTGCATAGACACAAAAAGGAAATCTGCCCCACATTATTATTGAAGTGTTGTTTTTATTGTTTCTTACAAGAATTTAACCTTCACTCCAATGGTAATTTTTCCCCAGGAAACAGCTGACAAGCCCTCTGAAAAAGATGCTTTGCAGCCAGGACGCAATATTGTTGCTGCAGGCTATGCCTTGTACGGCAGCGCTACACTGGTCGCCCTCTCCACAGGGCAAGGAGTGGACTGCTTCATGCTCGATCCGGTACAGTCACGGTGTTAATCACATTGCCACTATCTTTTAGAGCGTTCCGTGCTTGGGTTTACTCATTTTTGTTACTCCTTGTCTCTGTAATCTAGGCAATCTACGCGATTCTTTTTTTCACCCACGTCCTGGAGCATCCCACCTCCACCTTACAAGTATTTAATAATATGAGTATGTTGGTTGCAATACCTCTGTTTGTTTTTTTCTACTCAGTGGAAGAGAGTTTAAGTTAAATAGCATTTGAAACCCTGCTCATTCAAACCAGACTGCTGGTTTGCACAAACACTTTAGAAAATTTACTCTGAACGGTGTCTTTGCCTCAACTTAAAGGACTCCTGCTTTTTTCTCGTTCTTGCTTTTTCTGTCTGTAGAAGAACCTCAGCATGTTCAGTGTTTAGCCTGGGGCAAGGACCATTTGTTGATACAGTTCATGCAGAGTCATGTCTGATTTCCTGAGTGCAATTTAGTTTTATGGCTAAGTCCTCTAAGCTGCATGCCCAACGATTTCCAAAAGCACAACCGTACCCAATTGGACATGTGCTGGCCCTCGGTACCCAGCCCAGGAGCCCAGCAAGTGTTACTGGAGGAATGCAGGAAGATCACTCATTTGAGAAACCAGCATTAGATGTGGGCAATAACATAGGAGTTCTTTTTGATAAAAGGATGCATTATTATCAAAACTCCTTTTAACCTTTATAAATAGGCTCATTCCAAGAGGGAAGAACTGGCAGCTGAACTGCTCTGGTTAGAGACAAAAGAAGAGAAGGTGGAAGTTGCGCTCAAACTGCAGAGAGCAACACCTAGGGGTAGCTGACCACATTCACTTTAAGATACTTAGACAAGACAGGCAGGAAGAGTTCAAAAATCAGAAGGCAGTGTAATTTCTTAATTGGTAACCTTATGATTTGTGGACAGAGATCCACAATCCATCTGCTTTCAGGGCTGACTGGTGTTCATTTGATATGCTAACTATTATAGTCAAAGTGCTTTTTGTTTATACTACCAATGTGTCGAGTTTTCATGAACGCAGATTCTGTGCTTTCTGCTCTGTTTGAAATACTGTGAAGTTGTAGACAAGACTGGTGCTGAAAGGACCAAGCTGTGCTAGCGTTTCTGCCATCTCTAGTGTGACAACTACACAAAGTCAACAAAATGTTCTGCTGCTTGCTAATAGCTGGTCTATCCTGTTCTTCTGTAGGGTCTCGGTGAATTTATTTTGGTGGACAGAGATGTTAAAATCAAGAAGAAAGGGAAGGTATACAGTCTCAATGAAGGTTATGCGAAGTATTTTGATCCTGCAATGACAGAATATTTACAAAAGAAGAAATTCCCTGAGGTAAGAAAATATTAGCACTGTACCCAATGTACTGTGCGCTGGCAAGCACTGCCTTCCACGCAGTCCTGGCCAATTGGAAAGGTTTTGAAGGTGTCACTGAGTTCAGCCCCATGTAACCCTTTCGTTCCATCAGGTCCATTTTGGGTATGGTATGTGTTTGGGTATTGGTACCCATTTTGGGTATCTGATGTGCTGGTTTCTGGTGCCCTGACATCTTTTATAACTTAGACTTCGGTAAGTAAATTCATAGCTTGTTTGTCACTGCGTGGAGGAAAATGTGCTGTACATGAAGAACCAGGTTTTTCAACAAAGCTCTGAAACTGTGCCAGCAAAATGTGGGGGCACCCTTGTTTCCTAGCTTATCTGAATATGCAGTTCAGTCATATGTGCAGCTGGGCATTTGGGGCTAGATTCCACGTACTGCCCAGAAGGTGCGTGCAGGGATCTGGGTGGCATGACCTTCTCCTTCCTGTACATCCTTGCATCTGAGAAATGCAGTATTACTCTTGCACTGACTCCTTGCATCATATGGAGCACGAACCAACCCATAGGCTGAAAAAAAAAAGGATGTGAAGCACAATTTCACTATATTCTGTTGTTAAGAGGATTATACTCTATCCCTCAGAGAGACAAAGCTGACAACATCCCGTATCTGATGAACTTCCTCATGGGGACATACAGCTCTGTATGGCCTCTAGTCAATGCGAGGAGGACACCACACAAGCTCTCAATGTGGAAAGCTGGAAGCTATCTAGAAAGTGTAGCTATGTGACCAGTAAATTGTAACAAAATATGGTGACACCTAACAGCTCAGGACTGAATTTGGCCAGAAAACTGGTTTTATTGCTCTTCTTTTTAAAAAAAAGCCATAGGATTATTTTTTAAGCTATTAGTTGTCGAGAATACTTACACAGGGCTCATGTAAAAATCAATGTATCCAGCAGAAAACTTCAGGGTGCTGTACAAGGGAAATGCAACAAGTAAGAGTTTAAACCATGGTTCTGTGAGAAGCTCCTTCTGAGCTGAAAATCTGAATTTACTACATTGGATACAGTTGCAATGCTGACCTCTTATCAAAACCTCTTTTCCATATTACTCAGATTGTCACTACAGAGGGTGTTACACCACAGCATTTAAAATATATTCATTTTGAATATTTGAGGTTATTCTGAAACTTCAAAGTCTGCTTTCAGTCCAGCTGTGAGAGAAGCAGAAGCCCATGACACAACTTTCATACATACTTCCTGAAAACTAATCCAGCTGGGAAAGAGAAGAAGATCTGTGCTTCTCATTTTGCTCACATTATGCTGAGCTATGTATTCACTATAATGGACTAACACTGGATTTATTAATTTATGTTATTGCAAACCACCCAAGTGTTGTTTGAAGTAAAACTCTTAAACAAATAATCAACCCCAGGCAACTATAAAAAGACTGAAGAGATTTCAAACTCAGTGGAAAGACCAGACAGAGTTATTTCACCACAGGCTCAGTGAGGACAGCTCTATCGTGATTCACTAAATCCTTAGGTTAGGACATACAGGAAAAACCTCATTTGCAAACACTGTTTTATCTCAAATCCGTGCTTCATTTGAGGAAAACCTGTTGAAAGTGTTGTTGCACTAATACAACGGAAGTTGGCAGAAGGTATTTTGTTACTTTAAAGCAAGCAGCACAGTAGTGCATGGGTTTTTTGGGGCAGGGGAAGCCTCCTCAAGGGTGCTGAGCAAGCACATCACTTTGCTGCTCTGAGATGTAGGGTTGCCTGCATGAGAAGGACCAAGGCACCAATGTTACAGCCACAAAGCACAAGGAAGCGCCCTGCCCATCAGAAAGCTTTTTATGAACCTGAGTTTTGGAAACAGCATAACTCAGTTCCTTGATTTTAAAAGGACGTTATATTTGCATTGTGGGAGGCCAAGAGAAAGAAGGTGTTGCCACTCTTCCATAGCATGGAACCTGCTTCCTGGCATCATCTGTAAGCCTTACCAGCTACAGCTACATTGCTGATGCTCCTACCTTCCCTGCAGCGCCCAGGTGGAGCACTGCACAGCTTTGGTCTTTGTCTTCTTCTCCTCAGCACACAGAAGGGCAGTGGGGGGTATCTGCTGGGTATACCCTGCCTGTGACTTGAGGGGGGACTGACGTGTGGGGCATGGGGTCCCCTTCTTACCCAGGTGGACCACTCTCACCCTATGGCCTTCTGGCCACTAGAAGCCAAGAGACTAGGCATTAATTTCAGCTACTTGTAATTTTCTTATTCCTTTTTTTCCTTTGATCCTGCCTCTATTTCCTCCTTCCTGTGGTTCTTGATCAACATGCTGTTCAGATGACTCTCTAACATTGCCACAGAAAACTGAAAAGTTAAAAATACAACAGACAAACAAAGTAGGTTGTTGTCCACAACATGTCCCGTGTTCTGTATCATTGTCATTGGTGACCAAACATTACAAATCAACTGTTTATGTGGAGAGGAGAGATTTTTCCTTACTATCTAACAACAGTATCCCAGATCAGACAGTTTGGATTACAAAGCCATGTTGACCCTCAAAGTTTCTTGTGGAACACCATTCACCTAAGGCATCAATTCTGAATTAAAAGCACTGGAAAAGTGCTGCTGTTTTGCAGGTCAACTGTAAACCTCCTACCATTGTCATGTGGATCTTAGTGGGAAATATTTGCCTAGACACACCTATTCTGGAACAAGAGTCCAGAATAAAGCTAATTTTTTGTTAAGCATCACAAAATCTCCTGCTGCTTAACCAGCTTGAAGAGCAAGCTGCTATTTGCAAGGCTGCTTGTAATGCAACACGTTTACCGCAGTCTGCACTGTATAATGGGCACTGCTGGGCCAAGAACGGTTTCTGCGCACATCTCTCTCTAATTCCTTCCCAAAGTGAGTTCTTCCTCCAGTAATGCTTGCAGGGCCCTAGCCTCTAGCTGGCACTGGTTCACTGAGGGTAGAACTCAGAAACATGCTGTGGGCACCGTCGTACTTTGCTATTCCACCCATTTTTATCTTCACTTCATACGGCCAAAGTTGAGTCTCATCACAGCTTGTTGATTGAGAGCCATGCAATGGAAACTCCCTGGTTAAGGATTTGTCTTAGCAATGCCAACAAAAACTTACAATTAACAGCACATTTCAGCATGAAGCATTCTTCTGCCAGCCAGCCCAGCTGTGCCTGAGTGACATACAAAAGCTAATAAAAACACTGTGCTTTTGTCACCATAACTGTATGTGGAGGGAGTGATGCAGGGTGTTGCTTCTGTAGTCTGTAGAAAAGACTTTTTTCACCCCACTCTCCTAGTCATCATAGTTATGCAAGAAAAACATGGTCTCATTCTGATGTGGAGGAACAGAGCTGTCAGAAATCACAGAATCATAGAATCATAGAATCATAGAATCATAGAATAGTTTGGGTTGGAAGGGACCTCTAAAGGTCATCTAGTCCAACCATCTAGTGAGCAGGGACATCTTCAACTAGATCAGGTTGCTCAGAGCCCCGTCCAACCTGACCTTGAATGTTTCCAGGGATGGGGCATCCACCACCTCTCTGGGCAACCTCTTCCAGTGTTTCACCACCCTCACCTTAAAAAATTTCTTCCTTATATCTAGTCTAAATCTACCCCCTTTTAGTCTAAAGCCATTCCCCCTTGTCCTGTTGCAACAGGCCCTGCTAAAA